GCATCACCATCGATGATTGTTCTCCATACATCAAGTTTACATGCACGTATCCCTTTTCTGTATTTATGCACAAGTAATGACAGTGACAAATCACAATAAAGTCACAACACAATGAGATTAAGGTCACAATATTTCACATCATCACACCAATTTCCACATTAGTTTCACTGTTTCGCACCTTGATGGTCACACTCTAATATTTCGGTCACAATTCTAATTCTTGGTCACAAACGAAAACTTGGTCACAAATACACACTAAGATCACAAATTCATATTATAGTTACATGGATAAATTTCAGCCACACATATTTACCAATTTGCAATTCGTAAAGATGGTGTGCATCGTAAAAATCGGTCACAATTGCAATTATCGTTCTCAACAAAAAAGGTTGTCAGTCACACACACACAAAATTTACGAAGAGACACTGAAACATTGGCAGCCATCAAAATCAATGCAATCAATAATGGTAGAGGAACACTTACAATTGAAGAGAGATAATCGCGTCCTGATTTCGTGTTAGGTTGTAACCTGTCTCGACTTACAATTTTCCGACTAAAGAAATACGATTTCAACCTTATCCGGACATGATATCAGCTGAGATATTTATGACCTCCTTGCACCAATAACGCAGCTTAAGCGTGATCCTCTAAACTCGAAGCAACTGTGACCTCCAAGCATCAGGTACTTTCGAATTGCAGAGATCAATGGAATCGTTTCATGAAGATTGACCGGTTATAGAGAGGAGGACGAACTATTTTGATGGGAATCTTATTTTTAAATGGTAACGGATTCCATGATTTCAGGGACAGTATTAAATCATACCAAATTAATAAAATTTTTATATATAATATATTATACATTTTTTTATTAGTTGCAACCTGATTTCTGAAATTTGAAAGTATTTATTGTAAAATTGAAATAGTGTTTCCTAAATAACTGATAGGTTTAATTTCACAATTACAAATTTTTAGAGGATCAGTTTCAAAAATCAGATAAACTCAAAAATATTTCAAAAATCAAGTAACTTTAAACATGTTATTTTATATTAAAGTAATTTTTTTCACACGTATGTAATTTTCTCTTACTTTCTTTAATTTGTTGACAATGTAATTTTTTTTATTACAAAAATCATACATCTTCAAGAGACTTTTTAAACATAAGATACTATCTAGTTAAAGAGTCAAATCATTTAAATTATGTTTCAAAAGACCCTTTAATTAAATTTAAAATAGAGAGTAAATTTTACCTTTATAATTAAATGCATTCAATATATTTCAATTTTCAATTAAAGAAAATAATATAATAATTTGAAGGGAAGTTATAAGGAAAAAAAAAAAGAAAAAATAATAAATATTTTCTGTAAGTAGTAAAGTTAAGTGTTAAATATAAAGAGTCTGTTGGGATACTTAAAAAAAAAAATTATTTCCTAAATTTATAGGTGCTCTCCAAGCAAAATATGCCATTTAAAAATAGAGAAACTGTTAGAGATGCTCTTAATAAATTACTCTACATTATTTTACATTTAAATCATGTTACGATATATTCCATTTTTTTGAATTGTCGACACTATGTGATGTTGCTATTAAAGTGTATTATTTTGATTAAAATTGTTACGCCACCATCTCATCATGGCAATCGTCGTCGTCGCCACCTCATCAACATAGAAAATTACACACACTTCAATTATAGCATCGATACTTTTTGGTCTTGTAATTTATTAACTTGTGAACCACCACCTCCCATCACAATCAATGTTACTATCACATCATCACCACCAATAATCCATCAACACGTGAAAATTACATACATTATTTTTACAATGCGTACAATTTTTTTGCATTGTAACTTGGATAAAGCCACTTGTACATCCAAATGTGTACACCTTTGTTGACATCTCCTATGTATCGATAATTTAGCCATTCATTGAAATGTGAATTATTAAGATCAATATACCGAAATTTGCCAACTCATAAGGATGTAAACCAAAGTGTAAATGATTGGGGTACGTGTAGCATGACCGCCATCATTGATGTTATCATCACAACTAATATTCACCATGAACTATACCATAATTCTTATAAAAAGGATAAATTCAGTTTCAGATCAAGATATTCATGGTTCCGGTTCAAAAATCAAGAAACGTCTGGGACCAAGTCGATTCCCAATTTCGATTCATAATTTTTTCTGAATCGAACTGAAACCTTCAGTTTCGATCCAAAATGTTCGATTTCGATTGAAACGTACACCTCTAAGTGACTCTCAGTAGTAAATATACATGTATTAATGGTCCATTTGACATGACTTTTGAGAAGTCAAAATGAGTTTTTGAGATACAAAAATTATTTTTTAAGCCGTAGCCGTTTGATTAATTTTATAAATTATTTATTCTTGTTAAAATAGTTTTTAGAGAAAGCTGTCATAACGAGCAATAAAATACCATTGATATTAAGCGAATGATTGCTTTAGTTAAAATCAGATTTTTAATAAATTTTGATAAAAACAAATAAAATATGTAATTGAAAAGTTAATAAAGTTATGAATTTCATAAAACATGTAGTTAAAGTGAGATTGGGGAAAAAAAAATTAGAAATAGGATCAAACCACTTTTGTAAGAAAAATTCAACCCAAATCCATTTAATTGGTTTATAAACTTCTACTAATGCAATTAAAAAAATAATATTATCTAGCATTCATCCGAGTGACTACATTTTATAGATTCAATTAAATAAGTCATATAACTTTACATTTAAATGAAACTATCATTAGTTCACTTTATTTTTTATCCATTTATTCTCCAAAAAACCATTATTTCGACACACATTTTAACCCAAAAATGGGTCTCAAACGAGGACTAAGTGAATAATGTGACTTTACATTTAAATGAAACTATCATTTAGCACTTGTTTGTTTCCCATTTTTTGTTTCTATATAGAAGAAGTTGGACTGTTGGTATTCCACAAATCCATTTTTTATTGCATTCATCCGACACTAACATGACATTTCTGATTTCACTATAACATTTATTGTTTTCCTCTTCACTTTCACTGCCACGCCCTTCTCGGTAACTCTTATCTCCAAGAACGCTACTTTTCACTACTCTCCTCACTATTGGACAAAGAGTGGGCATAAAATGAATTACACAAATGACAACTACGGGTATTCAAACTAATGACGTAAATGGTGGGACCCATGATGTGATGCAAAAATGAATTCTACAATTTTAGAATAGAAAACTAACAAAGGCTTAATGTTACGTAATCACGATGTAGACTAGTGTTTATTATAAGTGGTCATAAATAACATTATTCAATAAAAAATTATAGGGTAAATGCGTAAGACCCACCTAGCTTTTACTTATTTTCCAGTAATTGGGTAAGTAGGTCCATAGAGAAACATTGGAAAAAAAGGGACCAGCTTTTCTGAGTAATGTTATTCCTCCCGTCCCCATTTAACTTATCATTTAAAGCCACGTAAACTGTGTTTTCATTCTTACTAAGGATGAATAGCATTAATCAGCTTTTCTTGGCAGTTTAAAAACACTGCATGTCTCATTTCGAACAGTTCAACTGACCCGGTGTTTTTTTTTTTTTAAACCGTCCAATTGACACGTGTCCCCTTTTTGAACCGTTTTTTAGCCTGTGTAGCATGATTGTTCAAACGATCCCAGAGAAGCAGGGCCATGAAGAATTCAAAGCTTATCTTGACTGCAATAGCACTGGCGGTGCTTTCAGCAGCCATAGCTTTTTACTATGGAGAAATCGCTACAAGTGTGTTTTTCCCACCCACTATACCCGGGTCGGATGACTTGCTCCACTCGGCTGAACGGATCCACCTATCCGGAGCAGTCGGGCCGGAGAGTCTTGCATTTGATTCCAATGGAGAAGGTCCCTACACCGGCGTGGCTGATGGCCGGATTCTCAAGTGGAAAACCAGCAATGATTCCAATGTCTGGGTTGAATTTGCAGTTACTTCCTCCCAAAGGTAAACCCATTAAACGTCTCGGATTTTACGCCCTGTTTGATAATTGTGATTATATCTCTCGATGAAATTGAGGGGAAAATACAAATTAGGTTTCTTTCTGAGTGTTATTAGGCTAAGTTAATGGAATAGGATTACAGGAGGTAAACGAATTGCCAAATCACAGGATTGTTGAACTGTGTCCCCTCGATTACCAGGTTTCCTTAATATTGTTTCTGTACAAGGACTTCAACAAATTTTACTGTATT